GGCTACCACCACGGCCGGTGAGTGTCTGGCTGACCTCTTAGACTCGTAAACGATCGTTTGGCCCGCGACGAGTTCGAAATTTTGAAACAGAGGATATTTGTCTTTCCTTTCATTCTTATTTCTTATTCTTTGTAGTCGATATTTCGATACGTCGATGCTCGAACTGCCCATTTTGCGTCTGCAACGCAAGAATAATTTTCATCTCTTCGATGAGATTTCTCTTTTCTACTCTTTTCTCTGGCTATCTTTTATTGTTATCGTGATAGTGAATTTCGAACCCTCGCGAGTCACCGTCGTTGTATGTTGTGCACGTGCCCCTTTACCGCGTTTATACGTACGCATACTATATAATTTGGCCCGTGTGATACTATATAATGTGGGCCCGTCGACTACGGATTTTCTAAGAAATTAAAGAAAAGGAATAAAAAACAAAGCGAAATCTCGAAGAATCTTTATATGTATAGTGCGAATAATAATATATCCAGAGCTAGGCAATACTGAAAGTTCCTATCAGATGACTATTTCTAGCGTAAGGGAGAACGCGACTAAAAAGGAAAAAGAGCAAAGTGCGAACGTTGAAGAGTAAACGAAAATACAAAATGTATGTGTGAGTGAGTGTGCGAGTGAGTTGATTTTCGAAGAATGGGATTTTTAGAAACGGATATAAATTTTAAAGAAAGCGTATCGAGTATGCCGTTATGCGTGAGAATATCAAGCATTAAACATTTTTAATCTAATTAGTCTAATATCGATTTAATATCGCTACCAGTAAAATATGCAGAATAATCTTAACCAAGTGAGAGTATCATGAAAGTGGCTGAAAATGGTAACCAAGAAATCTTGATTATAAGTTGCTGTACAGTTATAGACTATATTGCAAATTATTACGAATTTTATTATTATATTTTATAATGGATCCTTAGTAACTGTCCATTTCGATTATTAGTCGAAGCGTTTGATTCATTATAGTATAGCCAGAAAGAACGGAGAATACATTGCCTTTAATTCCTACATAGTGTAGCGAAATATCGTCCCTTATCTCTTCGCCCCCTTTATCCTTACCTTTCGTCCCTCCCCTCTTCACTCTCCTTGTTCTTCGATATGCGTCATACTTATCGTCGTCGTCGTCGTCATTATGCATAGCCGCGAAGCCATTCCAACACCGTGTCATCTTACGTTCAGTGCCTTTTCCTTGTTGCGCCTGAAGCGTTTCATTGTAAATACACTTCGCAAAGCCCTCGCTGTTATCCGAGGCTCGGATAGGGCCCTTTTATCTCGAACGGTCCCGATTCTGGCCTCCAACAACCGTAACGACCGCCAGAGACTCTCTCTGCCTTTTTTTTTTTTGTGACGAGCGACACATACGTTATACATAAGTAGATACATACATACGCGCATTCTACAGTGGAGTACAGTGACGCAAAATGGATTTCATTTTTCGACGAATTACGAGAGCTTGATATTATAGAATTATCGCGTTTGAGGAAATTTGTTGTCCATTTTTAGAAATACGCGTACAAATGAAATTAAACGCTTTTTAAAAGATTCCTTTTTTAATTATTTGCTACTTAACGATACTGATTTTATGGAGCTAGAAAATTTCGTACATAAGTTAGGTTAAAAATTAGCCATTTTATAATTACAATCACGAAACAAATTTTTAATCGTGGCTATCTTAAACTTTGAAGAGATTTATATATTTAAGGCTCTGCGCTATTTGTATTTGATACTTGCTTCAAAAATTATTATGCGCTAGATCATGACGTATATGTGATATGTGTATATGTGACTAAGCGAGGGCCATGCACGAATTAGTATTTTAGTATTTTCGTATATTTACCTCGATTTCGAGATTTACGTCTTACCTACGAAGTTCTCAAAAATTCCCAATTCGACGGAACATAAATAACTTTGTTGTTTAGATCTCAGATAATCGTAGATAAACTCCATTTATATGAATTTTACTTATTGAAATTTTATTAAGTATATGTTTATCCGAACGTAAACTCCTATTGTTTGGTCAAAAAATCTTAATTAGTATTAGTAATAAAAGGGTCGAAATTATATCTTCCTTTTTTAAATTGATATATAATAAATGATGTTTTATCTCATATAACAAATATAAGATATATATATATCTATATGCATATATTTACATATAGATATATTTGCCATATATATATATATATATATTATATATATTATATATATTATATTATATATATTATATATTATATATTATATATTATATATTATATATTATATATATTAAATATAATATATATATATATATATTATAATACACGTTATAATATTTAGTAAATGTAACACATCCCTACTTAAGTTCCATTTTTTAAATTATAGTATTTGCGAAAATAGCAATTTGCATAAACACCCGTCGTCAAATAAGAATAGTCGAAGTGTTGTTTGAAATCTCGAAGATGAAATTAATTTTGCTACATTTTTTAGTCATTTTCGGCTCGATCATATTTTCTTATCGTTAAAGACTTATTGAGGTAGAGTTTGAGGAAAATATGAAAGATTAGTTAACAACGTACGTGACTTCTCGTTTTAATTTTAAGGTTACAATTTTGTTAAGAAATTAAAAGTATTTTAAAGAGACATAAAAATTTAAGGACCATAACAGGACTAAGTGTTGTCTTGACTCGCGACGATGGAAGTAAACGGAAAAGCAATTTTGCAAACGTAAAAATATATACATATATATATAATATGGCAAATTTCCGTTGATTTCCTATATTTTTTATAGTACCTAGGCACGAAACGTGAAATTCATTCTGAATCATCTTGTTCATACATTCACACGCATGCGTCAATCTCAGTCGAACCTGTTTCTGTGTCATCGCATAACATAACTTGGTTTTGTCCTTCTTCCTTCACTGCGAAGCGAGACAATCCTATTTTGCCATTTTTACGACGACATCGATCTTAATCAGGGCCACCACTATTACTAATTATTATTATTATTATTATTATTTTTATTATTATTATTATTATTATTATTATTATTATTATTATTATTGTTTTATGCGTTAGTTATTTATGAGTCCCACATCCCCCAAGAAACTGTCTCTCTTTCTCTTCATCGTTTTTTGTGATAGTCACACTCTCGTCTGCCCACACGAACGAATCGACTCGATCTCGTACCGACCTTGAACAGCCTGAAAACTCAACGTATACATTGCTGTTGTATTCTTTTCCCTTTCTTCCTTTTACGATCTCTATCCTAGTTTTTTATTTTGTAATTTCATATTCTTCCCCTCTTATCGAATCCTTAAGCCAACTTTTTCGGGTAACTGGAACGTGAAATTTTCAGTCGATCTTTGTAGATCTAGTTCACAAACATGAATTATTGCCAGTCATCGCTTGTAAGTATTCTTAATACCTTATCGAACAACCATGTCAACCATGGTAATATTAAACGTAGAGTACGAACTTTAATATTTAAATCGTATAAATATTTTATAACAGTTCGTAGATTGGATTATACAATTTTACAGTACATCGTTTCAGCCTGTGTTTTTATTTGACGTTCACCGATTCAAAACGAGAATTTTCGAACTACTACTTCGAACTACTAATACTTTTAACATATTGACTGCCACGACACCTGTATTCGAGTGTCAGCAAAGTTTCTGGTCGGGCCGCGTAACCAATATTCGGGTGTCGCTTATTTAACTACTTGCGAAGTATCGTCGTAGGTATTTGAAAAGATAGTCCGACACTACTCTGCTGTTACGCGATTACTGCAGCAACGGTGTGTCCATGAGGATTTCTCCACGTACAAAAAAAAAAAAAATTATTTGAAAAGATATTCCATAACAATAAAACTGTTGAATTGTTATGAAAGTAATACGAAAATGGTTTATTAAAAAAATTATTTAGAATGAAAAACTTTAAAGCATTTTATACATAGCTGAGGTTGATCGGGACAATTTGGATAATAAGTTGTTGTTTCTTTCAAATTCTTTTGTGCCATTGTTCGATACATTCGACGTTTTATTTGTCTAACATAGTTTGCATGCGAGTCTAATGCTTCTTCCGCAATCATTTTTCCGAACAGCGATATTATGCTGACTCCGACGAAGACAAGGAAGACAACCCTAATAATTTTGCGACTAACAATTGTCTAAATATTCTAATATTTATGTAGGAATGTTATATTATAAATTAACAGAAAAGACAGTATGATAAACACAATATCGTTACACTCTCACAAAATCGAATATAATATCGCGTTTCACGAATTCGCTTTTCACTAATTCTACGTCAAAGCAACTCGACTGTGGCGGATCGGTACCAATAGGACGCCGACAGGTCGAGGCATTAACGCGGCGCAACACCTCTCGGGCGATCCGCGGGTACCAACCGCCAATACCAGAGGGCTACGACGACAACGAGTCTGTCTATCTCGCTAGCGGTCGAATGTACGGGCGAATGATACAAATACTGCACCTAGCGAGACTCCCTTTATGTCTAAGGCAGGGACTATCGGGCATAGTCTTACTGACGAGTCCACCGGTAGTCCCGGAACGAAACGCAACTCTCTTTTCATCTGGCAGCGATACCTCCGCCACACGACCATGATTAATTCAATTCTGACAATTTATATTCTTCCTTGTTGCAATTTTGTAAACTATCAAAGCGTTTACAACAGAGTAAGGATAAGTGATGATGGTAGATTTTTGTAGGGTTTAGTGTAGTTTAATAAGCGATACTCGATAACAACAGGACCGATTACAATATCGTCGTACGTCGACTCATACTTTGTGACCTCCCAACTCACACTCTGCTTCTCAACTAACTCTTTGGTCGTTGTAGCATCTCTTTTCTAACGAAATTAGGCACTTGTAAAGATCGAGGACACATTAATAGACCCGATAGCGTCTCGGCTCTCGCGACATTGTCTATAGTTAACTCGATGTTTCTTAGGCCCTTTTCCCCGATACACACTACATTTGATTCCTTTTCTAATTGTAGTGGAATTACTGAAAATTTTCAACGCGAGAATTGATTGTAATTTTAACAAATAAATAAATTGAGACCACCGCTTGAGCGACTCGCATTACTAAAATATCGATGGGAGTACCTAGCAGAGAACGATTGGTACTGCTGCACGCGTGGTCTGACGGAGATTTCTTTGAAAACACACGTGGCAGTCAACGTCTTAAAGCATTTTAGAAAATAAGAATTTGTTCATTACAAATTCAAGGATTAAATTTTTTAGAAATATTTAAAAATCTATTTTATTTATGACGAATTGGGATGAAATATTTTGAAATTGAAGTACTGGATTGAAATCCAACCCAAACTGTTACGATATTCTATACGAGTCAACGATACGAGTAAAGTGTTAAATCTTGTTCAACGTAGATTTACGTAGAGGCTGAATCTGCTTCGATTAGAACATTTCTAAGCGAACAATTCTACCACGTTTCTACAGTACCACGAATAAGTTCATTTACAACAAAGTAATGTATGATCGGGCACGTAAGTTAACAAAAAGTTAGCACACGCGTTTAAGAGATCGAACTCGCAGCCGACGAGGGTGTGGCTCAATTTCTCGCTTTTTTCTTTGTCAGCACATACACATTATATGTGAATCCGTAAACGCATAAACATGTACGAAATATAGTAAGGACCACATTTTTGTGCATACGTGGCACATATATATGGACACGACAAGCACAGTTATACGTATCAACGTCATGCATGTCGGTCCTACTCTTTTCGTGTATATAGTTTATTATTATTATTATTATTATTATTATTATTATTATTATTATTATTATTATTATTATTATTATTATTATTATTAATTATTATTTTATATTATTAATATTATATTATTTTTCCGTTCTAGTCTAAAATAAAGCTACACTATCATAAGACTAATCTTTGGTTTACTTCTTATTTGATTATTTCACCCCATTCCTTTTTACCCAGGACCCTGACAAATCATCCCCTTTGCGTTTCTAGATTTGTTTTTAGGTAAGTCGTATCGCATTAAATAACGATATCTAAAGATTATCGTAGTTCCTTCGCTTAGTAGTTCCTGTAAAATTTATACAAAGTAGCAATAGACTAAATAAGGTCCTTACGTTTTGCAGAGCATAAACGTTGTATACAAAAAGAACTATGCTCGTATGTAGTACGCAGAAAATTATACTCGCAACACGATATCAATTAATTGCAGAGACGCCACTAAGAATAAATCATGAATCAAATAGTCTATTTTCGATTATAGACCGTTACAAAGATGCTCGTAACTGAATATGTTAATTACAAGATTCGAAGTGAACGAACATAACTCAAAATAATCCTACTTTAGCCTACTACGAGTAACAGAAGTTAATTGATTACGATAAGTATATAAATATGAAAGTCACAGCAGGAGAACACGATAAATTCATGTTTCTTGATTTTACGACTTCAATTATCGCCGTATGAGAAATTTTAAGGATTTGATAGATCGAATGAGTGGAAACAACGATAAAATTGGGAATTACGAACGTGGGTTTACATAAAATTACGAAGAAGATAGAAAAATATGCCAAAATCGAACAAAAGAACAATCGTAGTAACGCGGAATTAATCGACGGAGAAAGCTAAATTTTAAAACTGCTCCTCTGTAAAAAATATAAAATATGACATATCGTGTTCTTCTCTCGTAGCCTTCGTATTCAAATAAACGTTTAAATTCCTGGCGAGAGGAACGCGTGAAATATCGACTACCTAACCCGCGTGAATCGAGGAGGCGACACTCGAGACGGAAGAAAGCGTGTTTCCAGGTACCATGGCCGGTCGATCACGCGAGTTTTGCGTAAACCACGGCTGTTAAGGCGAATTACGACGTGGTTCGTCTGGTAGTCGTGCATCACCAGGTAATTAAGCCGGGTTCATTCCGTGACACGGACGATTCGACGACTCGGCTCTACGAGTACATACATGGCATTGTCGAGACCAGCCAAGCTGGTACTGGCATGGAAAACAAGCGAGTTTATCGTGGGCCGAGGTTGCTCGATCGACTCGCGTTCAAGCAATGAATTAGAACCGACAGGGAAGCGTTAACCGTACTCTGTAAGATTACACGTTCGCGCCTGGATTTCTAATGCGGAGACGTAGATGCTCGACAGTCAAACCGCGTCCTACAGAATATTTCCATTTGGTCATGGAATTTTGTTTCAGGGAAAGAATACTGAGATTTGGAGTTGTAGTGTCTGGTTATCGGGAGATTCACTCGATACGTTCGCTTCTACTTGAATTTTTATTATTCGTGTTATATGGTAACAAGTAATTTTTAATTGGATCGATATTATTAGGAAAATTTTACAAGGCACGGGTGTGTAACGTATCGATCAGTTTGGTAATAAAATAAATAAGGTCTTAAGCTACAATTACAATAACAGTTATCGTTATTAGTAGATTTTTGTGTAGAAGGTTCTGATTCGTATCGTATGAAGTATATTCATGTTTGGAGAGAACTACGTCAGTAATAGTAATTCTTAAATATCGAAATTACGCTATACGTTTTAAATATATATCATTTAAAATCTAGTAAAAGAAATACAGTTAAGTATGTCTGTCGCGTTTGAAAGTTGAGAAATATTTTTCCGAAAGATACACGTACGTAACATGTTCTTCAAAAGTATCAGAGACACGTAGAAAAAATTTTAAAACGAAGAACGAGCGTATTATGCGTGTTCTATACATCTTTACGCCCTCAAACTTCTCATAAATGGATAAAAATCCACAGTCTAGTATTTTCGCACGTAAATTTTCGATTTCTTTAAAGATATTGAATCCTATAAAAACGCATCGTGATTTTAAATTTTCACCAAGCAATTCGAATATCTACAGTCTACTCGTCGTCTTAACAAATTCCCAAGTAGCGAACCATTTACACGTAGAATATTTACGATCCACGTCGATCGATTTCAATCACAGTTAAGAAAACAACGTTACTGTACACACAACACGGGGAACTGGCAATGGAAACGATGTTGGCTCGACGCCTTTGTAATTGTTACGTGATTTACACTCGACTTTCCAAGGTTTTGTCGATCGGACCGGCCGAGGTAATTAGTCGCGCCACTTTTTCGTCGCGTCTTTCGAGGTAACAATAGAGGCGATCTATACGCAGGGAGGTGGATGATTGCGAGAGAGGGCCATTGTACACGTGGTCATGGACGGTGTTGACGGCCCCGTTCACTGCCACCGACGCGACGCCACGAAATTCCCTAAACGACGCGATTCAAGCTCTGAATGGAAGCGGACGCGTGGAAGGAAAGGAGGAAAGAGAGAAAAAAGAAGGAGAACAAAAGGTTGGGATATTCATTCGGAAAATTGATTCCTTGGTGACGAGCGATCGTCGGTGCGTTTGAACCCTGGCTTCGCCTTTTTCGCGGCCTTTGTACCGACTATACACGACAAAGACTTCGATATTCCTTGTGAAATCTAATGGCTTTGTTCGAGAACGCGCGCGTTAAATCGCTCCATGAAAGTATTGTGCCTGGTAACGATCCGGTGATTACTCTTGGTAGCTCTCACTTTATGTCCTCTGGAATTATCACTTGATATCCCTGCTTCTTTTTATTCCTCTTGTAGGATGATTGATACGCGTGGTACATTTCGTAGATTGATTATTTTAACATCTATTTCGCCAATTATTATGTAAGAAGTTTCTATTTCATCGTGAATCCTCAGGTATAAATTATCAATTATCAGATAGCAAAGCAATACATATTCATTTTCTTCCAACTACTCTACCGTATATGGATACGCGAGAGACAATTAAATCATTATCGTGAAGGTGAATAGTGAAAGTTACAGCTAAAAAAAGAATAGTTATACGCGCGTAGCTAGGTTAAATTTAAAACTTTGACCAACATTTTAATCGCGAGTAAGTTTGATCGATGGTTACATCTTGTTGAGATACTTATGTCTATTTCCTACTCATTATGAAATTGCGTACATTACGAAATCTGCATTACTATAAAACATATTGCAAAGAGTTCGAGTTATAATATTTCTGATTATTCGATCCATAATTACGTAGTTACCATCGACGTAAGCTCGCGTGTTATTACAATCACAAAGATAAAAATCTTCTCACTAAATCATTTCCTTCTTAAATCATCCTACTTATAGTAAAAAGCTTATATACCATATAGCCGCGAATTCATTACAAGCTTCGTAAGAAAGAAACATAACAAATTTACCTACACAAGTACTCATTATTACCTGTTATTAGTACTCATTAGTACTCACTAGTACCTATTATTTAAAAATCATCAGCCAATAGACAAATCCGCATATTCAAATCAACGCACCACCCCATCAGCCACTTCATAGATCTCCTGAATCTCAAACAACTTCATCAACATACAAATGCAACACAACCTATTTCAAATCTCCAACTGATTCCTTCAGAACCCACATATAAAATTTATTTACATCGGTGTATCGTCTGCTACCATAATAATAGCGTGGCTCGTGCTCGTGTAAAAGTTCAAGGCGACTCTCCCTCCCTCTCTCTCTCTCTCTCTCTCTGTCTGCCACGTGTCCCTTAGAAAACGTTCTTCAGCTTCCTCCTATATGTCTCATAGCTCGACAAAATTTTGATACATCGACAATCGACAGTGGGGAGGTAATTCGAGGGACGAGGAAGAAAAGAACGGAGTTGGTTCAGAAATTCATGACGCCTGAAACCTTTCGTTTTCGAGGGCCTGGTCCTTCCGGCTTGTGACGGGTCACGTGTCGCTCTTTCTGCGTCATTTCGAAAAGCTTATGCTAATACGGAAGAGGCCAGGGTCGCGCGAGTACGACACAAAATGCCGCTGCGTTTTGTACCGGCGGGGAACGATTATACGCGCGATTCGTGAAATTATGCAAAACGAGCGCCGTTTACTCGCGCGAGCGCGGGGTGCGAAAAAGGCCGTGTGCACGGTGTGGCCACGTGGCCTTGTCGACGAGGGAATGCAAATGATATCTCCACTAGAGGGTTGAACTGGCATCTTTCTTTCGTTCTTTGTCCATCGATGGCAATTCACATGGAAATTCTACGTATGCGATATACAGGGTATTTTTCAATTGATGCTACCAACTTGAGAAAGGACGAATTTATGGGGAAAATAGGTCGGAAATACAAAGTGATGTTCTTTACGGAAGCTTTATTCTTCGATAAATTATTGTTGAGAATGTAGAGAGTACGCGTGCACTTATATATATGGTTGTGTGTTCTATTTAGGTTACTTTTAATGGATATTACTGTGGTATCCCTATCGCTGCTTGAATTTATCGTATCGAATAGCGGGGGATGGAAATTGGAACAGAAAGAATTTTTTGTTCTGCCCTGTCGTATATTTTTTGTTGGTTCTATCCGTGAGTATCAATACTCATTCGATTCCTCGATACTCATTCGGTTGCTCTCTGTACGTGCTTCGTTTCTGACAAATTAGAATCGTCGAAATCTAGAAATTTGCGATCACAATTAGAGAAATACAACACCGATAACTAGGAATAAAATTCTGCCTAAAAATTTGATCGTCTATGACATATGTTAAAAGAAGGAATACGTAATCCAAGTCACCGTTTCTTCTTCTAATTCTTCTTCCTCCTCATCGCTGTCCTCCTTAAAACAATCTAATCGCATAGGAAACTCACCCTTCACAGATATCCTCAATTTTCTCTCAACTTCTCCAAACGTTAAACGAAACCAAACCCTTAACTTCTTCACGAATGATCAAGAAAGCCGTCGCTTCGTTTAATCCAAACCTGGCTCGCACCTAATCTCGCCGGGTCAATATTAAACTCACACCGAAAATAGTGTGACGAACAGGCGAACTGGTAGGCTCCTCCTTGGACCTTGAGGACGCCACCAGGTAGGAATTAGCATGCCGCTGTCGTTTTTTTTCGCTTGCACGAGAACACCTCGCGGTGTTCGTTTATTCGCCTCTAATCCCTTTGAATGCAGCGCGGTCCAAGAGTTCGATGTGCCCCGAGTCTTTTCTCCTCTCTCCACTCTGCTGTCCCCGAGTTTTCTGTCCTTCTCCGTTCTTCGAACGTGTCCCGAGCCATATGTTACCCGATCCATGCCGGAGCTATTAATTATATCGATCTATATAGACTGCGTAGTTAGCCGTAGCAGCGAAAAGCAGTACCAGGGCCCTGCGACGCTTTATGGTTCTTCTCCCATCCCCTTTTTCTTCCTTCACGGTCCCGTGATAGTTTCTCTTTCTCTCTCATCGTCGGTCGATCCAGCGACACCGGGGTGAGAAGCTAAAAAAAAAAAGAAGAAAAATGCTGAAGCGCGTTGCACAGAAATACATAAAACCCGACCAGAGGTATAAATCATTAGGGGCCACGGAGGAACTATTATGTGACTCATGGCTCGTGGGGATGAGAGAACCCAGGAAAGGAGAGCCGAAAAAAATCCTGCCATGGGGGGTGACAGTTCATCCCCCAGCGTAACCGTTGTGGATATCGTTTTTTCATCCTCTTTTCTCTCTTTCGTTCGAACACAAAATCGCTGTTGGCTGGGAACGTTCGTTAATTGGTTTGATCGAATTTGACGCAGTTTGAAGGAAATCGTAGATACATTAAAAAAAACTGTCGATCAGAGTATCGTTTTAGGCGCGTTCTAGCGATGTAAGGAGCAATAGAATGTTGGGGATTAGGTGAGATGATTTTCAAAATTTAATGTATCGAGGGATATAGTTTGTGGAAAGAAGTTGAACGTTCTGTACGATCTCCTTAAAATGGGTCCCAGAATTCTAATTTCATTTTAATAGTCATTCCACTGAGGAAAATAATTAGTATATTTCACATTTATTATATCTTTTCTCGAATCATCTCATTTATTATATTCGCGAAGGTATCCTCGCAATCAGAACTCTTTAATAACGCGATTGCAAAACAACCGCACGACGGTCTTCAGAAAAATGATGCATGTCGAATAATTAATAATACAGCAATTATTTTCCCATCAGAATGATTTTATACGTTGCCGGCGGCAATTAAAAGGGACGTGACATCGAATAGTTTCTCGTCTTACGAATGTTTTTCTCGTTTAATTGATCGCACGATTAGAAGATTCGAGAATCATCCTAATTTAAGACATCACAGCCGTCTCGTTAGAAATTTATGTTCCAAGAGTTGATACATAGCCTGGACCAAAAAATGCATAGCCTGGAGTAATGAAATTTGTACGATTCTATAACTCACGGTGTACACGATTTCACAGTCACTAATTATCCTTCATTCTCTGAAAACATTGACAGGTTAACGTCGAATCTTCATACTTCAAAAATCCTTCACGCACTGCTAACTATCGATCAATCACAGAAACTATGGTAAATTCTAAAAATCTAAAACTCGTTAAAACCACCTAATACGAACGGTTTGAAAAACATCTCAATCTTTGCAAGCGATGAACTATGACTCGAAGAAGGAAGTGCCTGAAAGACGCATACGCGAGGATGACGCGCGAAGAGGCGACGGAACAGTTCGGTTTCGCGCGTAGCAAAGCTCGATTCCAGCGCGTTCACTTTCGCCACGAGGAATTCCGGAGGGGACTTCTTTTGGCCCTTGGCAGACTCCGCGTCGGACAAGGTGCTGAGAGGAGCTGGCGCGGAACGAGTCACGAGACCGTTCGTGAATAACCTAGTAAAAGTAGCGAACTATAGAGACCGGACTCTTCCCTCTTCGCCGGTGTTTGTCGAAGGCGCTACTGGAATCCGGCAAAAAACTCACCGGTCGGCTACCGGTCACTCTAATGCTTGCCTATAATGTGCCACGTTATTTTCAACGCTGCCACCGCCACGCCGCGCGCCGTGCCGGCGTCGCTTCCTCGTGACCTCGACGCCATGAAAACGATTCCGGGACAAAGATTCAAACGCTGCTACAATAGAAGATCGTGTGAACGAACGAAAAACTCCGAAATAAGATCGTATTTTTCGTAATTTTCTTTGATTAAATCTTTTCTCTCTTCTGTTCTTGTGTCCTCTCTTCTCTTTCTTTGTTTTTTTTTTTGGTAGCGATGTAATTGTCCTCTTAGACGAATAGGAAGATCGTAAGAAATGGTGTTCCATTAGAAGATCGCGTGAACTAACGAAAAAGTTGGAAGTAAGAGGTTTCCATCGGTCGTTACATTTGGATAATTATTACGGTTTGATTAAATTCCTTCCTTATTCCATCTTTTTATGTAATTATTTTTTGGCCAGGAATAGAGAGATTGGAAGAATCGGAATTATTTTATTGCATAGACAAGCTACTGTTCCTTTTGAATTATTTAAGTAGAGATAATCGTAGTTGTGAAGTTATCAATTACTTTCTATATATTCATTGAATAACACAGTTCTCTTTGTAGAAATATTGAAGGTAAAATTGAGGTATATCATATAATATATAAATATAATAAATAAAATTTTGTGATCAAACGAATCGAAAAGAAATCTACAATTATAATGCCACACGCAATGTTCCTCGATAAAAATGTCGACAAGATATAGATAAAAGATCGAGAGGATAATTCATCCACGGGGCAACAGGATAGGTAAAAATCTGGCAGCAATTGTGCGTGGACGATGGCGACCGAATTGTTGCGGGCCGAGAACGATGGTACCATAAACTCTCCACGAAGGCAACACGGCGGGACGAGTTATGGCAATGATGCCGGGAGTTCCACGCATGACTCGGCACGACGCAAGTACCGATGGGCCTTGAGGCGATCGAAAAAGAGCAAATCGGCGACGTTCGGTGCCTTGACGCGTACCGAGCAGTCACCGACACAAAAGAATCGAGTGTTAATTATCGAAAAAGCCTCGTCGTTCAACGGGACTTTCACGGTGATACGAAGAAATTTTCGTGTACCCGATTGAACGAATCGTTTTCAATTGGATTCGAAACATCGGTATTAAGCTCCGTTGTGAAATATGGCACAGCGAAAATTACAAGGTAACGTTAATGTTATTATCTCGATCGAGAATGATTTTGACGATATTTGTGTTTCGAATTTTTTTCATCGCGGCAAAAAGTTTGGTATAAATATAATATATGTTTCGTGCTCCGTATTCGAGATAAACTAGAGTGCACATAAAGAATGAGTTAATGTAGAGATTCGCTTTCAAGGATATATTACGCGTGTTACGTAGTAGCTGTTAAAACTTTATTGGCAGTATAACGAGACACGACTATCCCGATTATGTAGGAATAGACAGTTTCGAATAAATTGAAAAATATATATAGAAGTTGCAAGACGTTTAATAGAAATATCAAATACATATTGATGTAGCGCGTATGAGATATCGTTTATAAAGTGAAATTTTAAGAGCAAGTACATTTTTTTTTAAATACTAGGTATACTTACGTACGCCTATACCAAAATAATTTCAACGCACCAACGCGATATTCGAAAAATTTGTTCACCGATATTTTCACAGATATCTTGCTGATCTCAGGTTTCGATGATACATTCGTCAAAAAGACGATCTTTCATATCAGATCAATTTTATATCATGACATAATAGGATAGATAATAAAATGACCAAATACGACAGAGACTAATTACGATAAAACAATATCATCGAGTGAGGGAGATTTCGATAGATCAACTACTTATCGCCTACTTGTTCTTATCTAACAACAATCTGAAGTAGCAGTTTCACAGGATACATATTAATAACGTGTCATTATTTTGTATTATTCGGTATATATTAACAAACAGAGTTGGAAGGAGCCGCATTATGATTAGGTTGAATAATAGAAAAGTCGTACGGGCAACACGCATGCGAACATATCTTACATCTGAATCTACCTGCCAACGCAATCAAAGATCGTTTGTGTCGAACTCTGTCATTTGTAGCTATACGCGTCGCAACATCGACCGCGCGTGGCATAAATCGTCCTTCAAACAGGTATTTAATAGAAGTTCAGAGTACGCACTTAAATCATGCTATTAACTACGCGGTGGAGGACTAATGATTTTAATTTATGGTAAAATATGTTTGAAATATGCAGATCAAAGGCTAGAGAAAAAGATTGATCCGTGAATCATTATTGATTGAAGATTAGATAAAGATAATTAATAAAATGAAAGATAAATATCATTACTTGGAGAATATTGGAATAGACAGCCTGGATGTGATTAATTGAAATATAAATCTAATTTCTTAGAAAATACTGAATTTATATGAAAGGCTGTTATATGAAAGTGTTTTATAGATATTAAATAAATAATTAATAAATAAATATCTGTGTATCCATATATTATTGCATAAATAAACAAGTAACAGTTAGGCTATGGAACATCTAAAGAATAACGCGTCAACGACTAACAAATCTATCAATATCGCTAACAACAAGTCTCTGCCATAAAAGTCTCCAGTTCAATTCGCAAATATAAATTACGAGATTCCGTAGCTCAACTTCCAAATCTAAATTAACATCGATTCAACCACTCGGCAGTCTCTACGTTTTACAAGCTCATATTTAGAAACGATAAACTTCACCCTCGCCAACAGCAACAACGTTGGACTTGCCCTAAAGAGGAACACGTAGCCGTGGGTGCATCTGGGTGCTGCAGATGCATTCTCGACCGCAGAGCGCAGACTTACCACCACCAGAGCATCGTCGTGGCACGGTGGTTGCTGATGTTGTTGCTTGAATTATACTATGATTATACTCTAGCCGCGCGGCGGCTATGATTAAACATTAAACAACGCCATTACTCCGAGTAAGAGGGAAACGTAGAGGAAGGCGAGCACGCGAAGGAAACAGAAGGAGGAAAGGAAGAAAGAAGAAGAGGAAGACGAGAAGAAATACGAGAAAAAGAGGAAGGATATCAGGTCTGGGTGGGTTCCTCGTGGTCTTCTTCGTCGTCTGGTGACCGCGGCCGCTCGTGTCCTCCTACGAGTCCAGGATTAGCCTATAATTCCTCTGGCCAAGCTGCTTGGCTTCTCCTCTGACTGTTGCTGACTGGCTAACCAGAAACAGGAATGCCAAGAAGCGTAATTAGCTATTCGGCCGCGAGAGAAGCCTATTTGCTTTACTGCATTCCGCGCCACCATTCAGGATGAAACGGCCTCGAGAGGGGGACGAGGGAATCACGATCTGGATAGGAAGGAGACGAAGGCAACTAAGTACGCCAGGTCCTCTTGATCCAGAAGAGAACATGGATCCTAACGAGCTGGATTGCGACGAAGCTTCACCTCATTCGCTCTTTTTCTCGTTCTCTATGTCATACGCACCGAGAGATTAACTTTCACCGTGAGGATCAATCG